TCGTTCGGGGTCAACATCGAAAGAGAGACGAGAGGGAGGGTTGACGTACGGGGAGACAGGGTACGTTATCAAAGAATACATGCCCCTCGGGGATCGATTACAAGGCAGGTTCCTGGCTAGATTACGCGTTGCTACTCTCGCGCCATTGCCTGGCCAAGGCCGCGCACCGAACCGTCTAGCATCCACGCTGTGCAGCGCCCGCGCGCAAATCTTATTTGAATTGGAGATGCCAAGTTTACCCCCTTAGCTGGACCCGCGCTCTGTATATAGTAAGCTTAGAAGGGTGGTGGTAAGTAGCTTATGCGCGCTCCTCCTCGTTCATCCCTCTGGATGTATGTACATCGTAGTCGAGGTGTATTTATGCTGGCAGCGACAGACGAGGGCATATAAACGCGTATTTCAGTGTCGAGATTTGCAACGTATAAACGGGTCATGCAGTGCAATTTTCCTACGATCAAGCTTGCATTGGAAAAGCATTATTAGAACGGAATGTTTAGACTAGAAGTGAATAAATAGTTTTCACATTCTGATCCATGTAATATATACGTATTAATATTATCGAGCTGTTCTTGGTCGTTGCATTATGAATACAAAAATGGGATAAAACGCGTTCTGTTTCACATTGTTTTATCTTTTACGTTTCAAATGTCTCTAGCGAAATAGTTTGGATGTTCAACCGGAAGGATTAAAGAGGACGATTAACACATTCGTAGAAACAGCGTGACAACGGTCACCGGGAATTGGGCCGGTTTCAACAATTCATTTTGCAGAGCTAAATTGGCTGCGATATTTCGAGCGAGGGCCAGGGAGGCAGAGGGAGAAAGCGAATGCGGTAGGTGTAGAGTAGAATGCGCGCTATCCTGTAAAGTCAGCCGGAGCTCGACGTTTAAAACGAGCCTCGCATTCCGTAAAACCGTAGCGGCGCACCTGCGCGTGCAACACCTGCTTTTGGCAGAGATTGTCAGATTATCTTCAAAAGTGGCTCATGAACCATCCCCTTCCCAATTTTTCCCGCAGGCCTTCGTTTCGTTCTCCGGCCTTCCTTGGTTCTCTCTAAAACGCGGAAAATGGAAATAGTCGTACATATACCTGGCGAATGAACGTCCAGAAAAATCGGTGCCTTCTTCGATTATTCCTTGTGGGGTGTTCAAATGTTTTTAATAAATTATTCCAGTTATTTTAAAGCCAACTAATAATTGAATTGTGTTACTTTATATTCAATTGTTATAAGGAATTACAGACGTATGTAAAGTTGAACGTTATTATTTTATACATGTATTATTATGTACTTACGAATAACGGATAATTATTAGAATATAGTATTTATCAGACTTCTTTTGTAATTAATTCGATCTTGGAATGTTCCTTTTTCATTTATTTAATTAACAGAACTTCCCATTGTTCTCCGATCGAGCATATTTAATTTCAACTTGTTCTACCTATGGAATCCTCAAAAGTGAGAGAGACGAAAGTCCATGATGCACATTTGAGGCATCAGAGATCGCACAATGTTCTCCGTACCGAATAACAGAATCCATATGTAGTTACATAGCATTTTTTTCTCTATTTGTGATGAAAGGAAATCATAAAGGAACCCCTCATAATTCTTGCCATCAAAGAAATTAATTGAACGTGGTTTTATTCTTTTTTATTACGCGCCTTTCTTTCGTAGTCAATGTCAGATAGTATTTATAATGAATATAATTTTCATTAAATTTTGTAAAATCGAAAAAGAATTAGCATTTCATCGGATTCAAACAGGAACGCATCTTCGGCACAGATTCTTTAAAACGGAAGTGCTGTACCACGTCACGGGGAATCGCTTTCTTTTCGCCGGCTCTATCCTCATCCTTTTAAAAGATTAAAAAAGAAAGCTGGAGGAGGAGGAAGCTGACTGGGATTTACCGCGGAGGAAAGGTTTCTTCCCTACTTTTCTCCGTGACGAAACGTTCCGCGCCGAAAGCGTCGCGGCAAGGAAATCCGTCTCGTCGGTCTTATAATTTTGAGGTGTGAGAGCAATTCGCCAAGAACACCAATCGTCAGTCCTGATCTCTTTGTCAATGATCAATTCATATTAGTCGGTGAAACGACCTGATATATGCTCCGAACTATAGCACGTCCTAAAAGATTCTTAGAATACTAATTTGCAAATCATCTAAATCGCATCAATCATATTCTGAATCGAAACCTGAAACTTACCCGTGGGAAGAATCTCATCCATCATTTCTAAGGATTAAGAAAATTATCTGTGGCAAATTCGTCGAGCGAGAGAGGAAAAAGGGAACGGAGGAAAGGAAGAGTAAAGAGAAGAGGGCGGAGAAAAAAGTTTCCAACGAGATTCTCGAGCGGAAGGCTCGTGAATTTCGTCATGAGCACACTTTAAAACAAGTAGGAGGGGTTGATTCATCGAAATTAACCGGAGGAACGCGAAATTTCGACCAGTTTGAATAGCAATTCAGCACGGCCAAGGGGACACTCGTGGGCTACGTTTATTCGCGATGACGAATTAAAAAGTTTTAATATATGCAACTTTCTATCCGCGCTGTTTGCACGGAAATTCACCTCTTGCGAATATCGTGTCGTCGCAGAATTCCGGGTTGAATTCCATATTTTATCCGTAACACGGTGATAAATTTAACCTGTTCCGAATTTACGTGACCTTAATTTTCTGCAATTTCATCATTAAATTAAACAATGACTAAAAGTTAAGCGATGCGGTAACATAATCAGAAGAACGCATGCTCGATTTGATCACCAAACTGTTAACTGCAAAAAAAAGTCGACGAAGAATTATATTTTACGTCGTTTCTCGTGCGAAGTGGTATAAATAAACGATTGGTCAGACAGGCACAGGGAAGAGTACATTATTTGAGCGGCAAGCTTCTTTCGCGTCGAATGGGGCGTATAAAGAAAGGACCAGGGAAAAAGATGGAGTCACGTTTAACGACACGCGTACCAGGATTGTGGTTTTACGTTGAGGTAAAGAAGAAATGGTGAAACTTAAAAACTAAATCAGGTACGGAAGGAAAATGGTTTGAAGCTCTAAAGTTCTAAAGTTCTATTTCTGAGAACAAGGAAACAAGGATTAAGAGACAATTTTTAAGGGAAAGAGTCGCGTTGAATGTATAATTTCTAGAAAGTGTTTTTTGCTTTCTACGTGAAGTTCCCTGAGTCTAAATTGTCGCGTGTCGCCAAAGAGGCCCGTAGACGCTATTCTCAGAAGTATAGGAGAACTAACTCTGAAAGCATTTGGGGACGAAAAGGTGGGGAGGGAAGGAAATCCCGCAACAGGAAATTTGAATTAAAGCTCATGGACGGAAGAAAGGGGTCGCCATAAATCTTTTTACCGTTTTCAAACGGGAAGAAAAATCCCTCGAGGCTGCACGCCGGCCTGGAAACCAGCCCTACTACCCCTCTGCCTTCAAGAAGAAATTTTAGGAAGAAGGGTGAAGAAACGGTCCGCGCGACGGCGAATCCTCTTTCCTGGGTTTTTTTACCGGCACCACCTCTAATTTACTAAACTTATCGTCCTGTCTTTCTTCGAACGATGCGACGCCGCCAGAAACAAAGGCGCTCTTCACCGCTTCGAGGTGCTCGCGTTTCGCGCCTGTGACGCATGGATGGTCAAAGGCGCGTCAACAACGCCAAGATTACCAGATCACGTTTCACGTGCGCTGCTCTCGAAATCTTCGTGCGTTTCGCGTATCGCATTTTCAAAAGAATTTTCATATTAAGTTCGCATCTGAAGCTAACAGTTTCCGCACGTGCACAACCTTAAAGAATGCTTTTGAATGCGCGAAAAAATGAAAACTGACGAATGCGCGGGATGGAAACCGTGCGAGTGGCTAAGACAGGGAGGACAAAACCGGGGTGGTTGCTTTTGTTAATTAAACGAAACTCCGTCGTGTGCAATTACTCGAAACAGTGCGACGAAACCGGCAGACTCGTTTCCGAGGGCTTTGCTTAGCTAACAGAGTCGACAATCGTGTTTCGTGTTTACGATCGTATTGTTTGTTGCTTTGAAATTCTCTAGGGGTTGGTTTCTTTGGCCACTCCCGAAGATTATGCAGAGACGTCTTCCGTCTTTTGCCAAGACGCCCAGGAGATATCGTTGAAATATGCGATTTAGTAGAAAGATTACGGTTCTTGTCGAATTTCATTCTACTTGAGAAATAATTATAAAGTAGAAGAAGAGGTGATGGATTCGATCTCTTATGAAATATTCTTATTTACCTATTAATGTTCTTGGGCTTTATTGTGGGAAGCGAATTTTCCAACTTGTAGCTCGTTGTAACACTACTTTCTTGATTATTGGTAAGGGGCTTGTTAATTTTCGATAGAATCGATACGAATTCGAATGGTTCGTTGTTCGTTACACGCAAACGCTCGTCGCGCGCCTACAGCATCGAATTAGTCTGTTACGAGGGGAGCACGCGAGCAACAACGTCAGACTCAACTTGAAATTGAGTTGTCATCCACTCACCAAGTTATATGGCGCCTTTATAATGCTGCCCGGCCCTGCGATGCGAAAACTATTAAGTCCGAAACCTGATAGCGCCCCCGTGTTGTCTGCATTGAGGAATATTTGGGGCGAGAGACCCCGAGAAGGGGAAACGGGCTTCTATGGCAATAGTTTCAGGGGATGAAACATCTGTTCCTCACATACATACATTTCCAAAGAACTCTGTTTTCAATGAGACTGCTGTTTTCCGTCGATTTCATAAATGAAATTCATGTGTAGATTGCGGATTTTTATGTAAAATGAAACTTTTGTGACGTCAATCTTAAAAAGATATCTTATACCCTTCAAAAATAATGATGTTTACGTATGCGTACATATAATGCATATTACGTGCATTCTTATATTTGTGTATATAAAATTTTTCTATAAATGCATAAAATTCGCGAATTATTCACGAATACATATGTAAACTATAAAATCAAACTGTACGTTTACAACTTTATTATTATTTTTTTATTATGAGATATTCTGGTTTCAGAGGGCCGAATCTTGGAACTCCATTCCCCAGACGGAGTACACGAATGCTGGCTAAGGGCCGCGGATAACGCCGAAGCGAACGTGTGGTTCAACGCTTTGCACTCAGCGCTCGCAGCTCTTACGTTGAAGGCGTTACGACTGGCCTCGGCGCTTCCGGACCCGCCGCAGCTTCAACACATCGGCTGGCTAGCGAGGAGACACTGTCTTCAGGTGAGTGGCTTCGCTCGTTTCTGCGCGCGTGCTCATTGAGATGACGTGGCGTTAAACGCGAACGGAAGAAGACGGGAAAGAGAAATATATGAGAGAAACATCGCGAACGAAAGAGTTGAGTTTCAGAAACGGAGGCTAGCGTCTGGCTCTCAACGCGTTTCATCGGATTGAATAGGCTGAGACTGCTCTTTCTTGAATTTAATTCTCCTTGGGTCGTAGCGTACCCGCATGAGTGCAACCGGGAAACGATGAGAATAACGAGAATAACGAGACAGTTTTTGTTCCAATAACAGAACTTCCGAACAGTACGTAAAATCTACTTAAATTGAGCTGAGCGGATACTGTCGGATAGTTTATTTTAAACAACCCTCTTTCATCCGACTATTCAAGCTCCTGTTCATCTAACAATAAGAACTGTAGTTAAATAAAATTTGCAGAGAACAACTTCCGCTTTTGGCTAAAGGAAAATAAAAACAAGCCCGCGAAGCACGAAGCAACCGAACCATAAAACCGTGGCGAAACAACCGAGATAAAACTCCACTTCCAACCAGAAACGATCTTAGCGTTCCATAACGGCGACTCCTCCCTTCCTTCCTTCCTTCCCAGGGATAACAAATCACTGCCAATTTATTTTTTTCCCCCCCGTTTTACCTCCCGAAAGTGGTACAAATCAGACTGGTTAGCCGAAAACGTTGGTGAATAGTAATGGGCGGTGAAAGTCTATGCGCGCGACGACTAATTGTCGCGGCTTAATTACCCGAAACGATCGGGGATCGTTAATTACAGGCTTTCATCGTAAAAGGACAAACCTCGGGGACTGATTCGTAGCCCCTACCCCTCGTCTACAGTCTGACTCCTTCGAGACGAATCGCGTTCTCTATTTGCCTTCCCTTCCACGAACTCTTTTCGTTGGTTTTGTTACTTGGCAAGTTTCTTAACGCGGTCCCGGCACCGCGTTAGACGAATCAATTGAGACTTTTAATGGAGTTTTAAAATGGAAATAAAAAGCTGTTCACTTAAAAAAAATAGCACCCATATATATGTATATAATTTTTTACACGGTAGTTCCGTTTATTCTGAGAATTTGTGCAATTAGCTTCGCGAGTAGAGCGATTTAATTGTTAATGGGTAATTGTGGTTAAATTTACAACGAAATAATGGTAATACCAACAGCTTAGGCAAATCCGTATATAAAATGTATACAAGGACTTAAGTTTCATTTAAAATTTTCAAGTATCTCAGGTAAACAGAATTCCATAAAACGAAAGCCAGTTCGGAGGTAAACAAGTCGAAGTTGTCCAAACAAGTCGTCACTATCTGTAGCAATATCCTCGGTCGAATTGCCGATCAGGGCAACGTTGGCAGTCGCGCGTAGGAGCAGCCCGCCAAATATATCGGGGACTCGATGGATCGATATCTAATATATCCGTTATACGAGGGCGCGTATCTATGAAGACCGGACTGCCAAACGAAGGTAGTCTGGAAGGGAGCGGGGTACACTCTGCACATAATTGATTGGCATTAACGCACCTGATTGCCAGTGTCCCCCATTCCCTTCTCGCGATTTGCTTCGTCGTCTCCGAGATGATCGAGCTGTTTGAGGCTCGTTGCGATGTTCAACAATACTGGGATTGGCACGATGGGTAGAAACAAGGAAGATGCAAATAGCATCGAATCTAAAATTTGTGTTTTTGTCTGAGATTCTCAAATTTAATTAAAGTCTGTCAAAAGCATAAAGATAGAAATTAAAATCCGATTTTGTGTTTGTCAGATTTGTTAACGATCAAGGAAACAGGAATTCAGAGAGAATCCGACTTTTCATAACGATTAATCGCTTGGGATTGCGCGAGTTTATCATGGTTGTTTACCGAACTGTTATTACTCGCGTGCATCATCGTTCGCCGCCGCTTTTATGGAGGCTGGAGATTAATTTTTCACCGCGGTGAAAAGCAGAAATAGTAACCTGATACACGGTTCATCGAGTGAAACCTAAATAAAGTAATTAGATATCCCGCTATAGTTACTCCAATTTATAATCTGAAATGTAATATTAGAACAGTTTTTCACGGATCATCCAGGCTCCAAATTTCACAATCGAATACCACGAACAAGAGTCCCTATTAAATTTCCAGACAATTAATCAGTGGACCCTTTGTGTACCTATTTGAAAATTTTCGGTGCCTTCTGACGTTCGTCAAAAGGAACAAAGCCGTCGATGTTTGCACGGACGTCGGTACCCGCGCGTATAATCAGTTAATATCGACGCCAAATCGAAACCGGTTCTGGCCCTCTAACGAGCGGTAATTGACGAATACGTAACGATCCGGACAACTTTGTTCCTGCCCAAAAATCTGATTCCGAGTAATGGTCGATAGAAGTACGATACGTCCCTCTCTCTTTTTGGCTGGATCGATGACAGATTAACTATACTGCGACGAACTTTCATTCGTAAAACCTTTGGGAAGCTAGCCTTTGGAAAACGTTTACCAGTAACGACGCATTCCAAAATTGAAACGTTCGGTGTGAATTGTGGTTACGCCACGATCTGTAACGGATCTGAATCGCAGAGGTCTCAATAGCTGATTCATTCGCACACGCGCATAATCTATTTTCGACTATACCTACTCGACGCCCGTTTGATCTAAATCACACGATGGTCTGCAATTGACTAATGCGTGCCCGACCATCGATCATTGTACACAACGAATGTATAGATTAATTATCGATCCCCAGTAAATTCGAGTTAGATATACAATAAACGGAAGGGGAAACTTATAAAGCCAAAACTCTTGAATTTATTCGAGTAATCAGTGTGAATGTTTGCTAGGAAAATCCGTGAACCGTGGAGGAAGCGTGCCGGCCCGGGATTATCTGTCTCGTACCGAAGTGGCCCAGGAACATCCGAGCGGATCGTTTATTAAATAATATGAGAATCGAGTTTCTAGATCAACGGCCGGTAAATCAAACCGGCAAACAAGGCGTCTCCGGACTAATTAACGCCAAACCGTGTATAACCGCTCGTCGGTCGTTCGTCGAACGAGCTATTGTAAATTGGATTTCTGTAATGAATTCCGTGTGTCGTGAGGGGGACAATGAACAGGTGTCGCGATTATTATTCCAACTACCTGGCAGCACGAGATGCGGATTTTCTATCTGTGTTTCTTCTTTAACTAGCAATTCGATATTGTAAAGGATTTAGTAATACAGCGTATTTTCATCAATCAGTTAATTAATTAGCAGTTACTATTAGTATAACTCGGTAAAGACATGAGAAAGAATACTCTGAAATTATAACAATTGTGATGACTAAATAACGAACTTCTGTCGAACTGAAGGACTGGTCATAGTAAGGCTAATATCGGATATCGTTTTATCAAAGTGTCCTATTTAATCGATAATAACGGCGGGATACATTATTTATGAGCGAGTCTTTAGCGTCCATTGCCGCAGTTCACAGTTTCATAACCAGTCAATCCATTATTAACGCGTACATTCGTACAGCATTAACCGCAGCCCGTGTAACACATCTATTTCACTAGTCGCCGATATATAACGCGAAATAATATGTAGCTATTATACACATAATGTACAGAAAACAGGTACAAATGTTGGTAATATTGCAGAAAGTTACTCCAACCGAGTCGTAGTTATATTTCCCCCTGTTTCAAATTCCACCCGTACCAAATTTCAATGAAATAATTATCCAGTACAATTAATATTACACAAAATTGTAATCACGGGAACCAATTAAAAAAAAAATTCTGAAATTGATTGCGGTCTTCCATAACGCGCGTTTGCTCCAGTAATTTGTTGAAACATTTGCCTTCTAACGAGATTATCATTCTGATGTTAACACGTGTACGTGTTTGATTTTCGGCACGCTACTTTATCGCGTAACAATATATAAGATTACAGAGGAATCCCCTCGAATTCACTCCGATTTGCAAATTCATTATGTGAACTCAATAAATTTATTCCCAGCCCACCCCTTACGCGCCGTCCCTTGTTGTTTGTCACCGTCTACGACAGTTCCATCTACCTTCTCTAAAGAAGGGTACAGGTCTATTGCGAAGGCAGTAACTTTGCTTACAGTAAAGAACGCAAAATAGACGCTGCTTAAATTTTTCTGTAAACAAGTGCCTATCTAAAGGAACTGCCCCAAGACCAATTAAGCAATGGTCGGTAGCTAACTGGGAAAGATTTACGGGACAGACAGCAGATTCAAAGGAGGAGTAGTATAGGCCGCATTAGATTAAATCCGTGGCCGCGTGCCCATGCCGCTGCTATTAAATTAACCGGGCTCGAAATTAACGATACTCCGTTTAAGTGTATTTTAATTAATCCTAGTGGTAATAAAGCGGGCGCAAGCTTCCTTCGCGTATTTTTCGGCGAGGCAACGGAGGCTCGCCGGAGCGGAGGTAATCGGGACTCAAGGCGCCGTTTAATTAGCCCCTGGCCGTAATAAAGCACGGCATAATGCCGCTCCATTGGTGCCGCGCTACGCGCTTGAAATTCGAGCCGCGGAACTCGCCGGATTATCCGTCGCAGTGGACCGTTTCTACCCGGATTTTAACGCCTTCCTTCCGGTTACGACCGGTGTATAGAAGGCCCGTAAAACCCCCGGAAACCGCGATTTCAATCGTCTAAATGCGGACTCTACGAACGGTGGTTAAAGAACGACTCCCCTACCTCGAAGATTGGTGGAGACGCGATTTCGCGAGTGAGTTGTGTGCTCCTGTTTCAGGTAAACAGGGGAGGATTGCGCGGTTTAATATCAGCCAACTGGAAGTCGTAAATCGTTGCTAAGAAGTTAATAATAATTTAGATGTCTAATATCCATATAATCGGTTAAAACGCATCGTTTACTATAAATAAATTAACAAATCGTATATTTAGTATTAAAAATTGCATAGAATGTTTGTGCCACGAATTTCACCTCGAATGTATTTATTTTTAAGGTATATAATGGTATATTTTGAAATCTCTAAACGATGATACGT